TTCACCGCCAAACCTTTCAGGGAAGAGTTTTCAACAGTTTGGCACCATTTTTGAGCAAAGTGGAAAACGGACGATTTTTGATGAAAGTGTGACCGCGCGCCTAAGGGATTTTTCAGAAAAATTATTTTCCGCAGGTGAAGTAGTCGAGGGTTGATTTCTTGGCCTATGATCAAAAGACCTCCGTTTCCACAGCCAAACCTTTCAGGGGAGAGTTTGCAACAGTTTGGCACCATTTTTGAGCAAAGTGGAAAACGGCCGATTTTTGATGAAATTGTGACAGCGCGGCTTAGGGATTTTTCAGAAAAATCTTTTTCCGCAAGTGAAGTAATCGAGTGCTGATTTCTTGGCCTATGATCAAAAGCCTTCCGTTTCCACCGCCAAACCTTTCAGGCAGAGATTGCAACAGTTTGGCACCACTTTTGAGCAAAATGGAAAACGGCCGATTTTTGATGAAAGTGTGACCGCGCGCCTTAGTGATTTTTCAGAAATATCATTTTCCACAGGTGAAGTAGTCGAGGGTTGATTTCTTGGCCTATGATCAAAAGCCTTCCGTATTCACCGCCAAACCTTTCAGGGAAGAGTTTGCAACAGTTTGGCACAATTTTTGAGCAAAGTGGAAAACGGACAATTTTTGATGAAAGTGTGACCGCGTGGCTTAGGGATTTTTTCAGTATTTTTTTTCCGCAGGTGAAGTAGTTGAGGGCTGATTTCTTCGCCCATGACCAAAAGACTTCCATTTCCACCGCCAAACCTTTCAGGGGATAGTTTGCAACAGTTTGGCACCATTTTTGAGCAAAGTGGAAAACAGCCAATTTTTGATTAAAGTGTGACCGCACGGCTTAGGGATTTTTCCAGAATTTTTTTTTCCGCAGGTGAAGTAGTCGAGGGCTGATTGCTTGGCCTATGATCAAAAGACTACCGTTTCCACCGCCAAACCTTTCAGGGAGAGTTTGCAACAGTTTGGCACCACTTTTGAGCAAAGTGGAAAACGGCCGATTTTTGATGAAAGTATGAACGCCAGGCTTAGGGATTTTTCAGAAAATTTTTTCCGCAGGTGAAGTAGTCGAGGGCTGATTTCTTGGCCTATGATCAAAAGCCTTCCGTATTCCCCCGCCAAACCTTTCAGGGAAGAGTTTGCAACAGTTTGGCACCATTTTTGAGCAAAGTGGAAAACGGACGATTTTTGATGAAAGTGTGACCGCCAGGCTTAGGGATTTTTCAGAAAATTATTTTCCGCAGGTGAAGTAGTCGAGGGCTGATTTCTTGGCCTATGATCAAAAGACTTCCGTTTCCACCGCCAAACCTTTCAGGGGAGGGCTTGCAACAGTTTGGCACCATTTTTGATCAAAGTGGAAAACAGCCGATTTTTGATGAAATTGTGACCGTGCGGCTTAGGGATTTTTTCAGAATTTTTTTTCCCTGCAGGTGAAATAGTCGAGGGCTGATTTCTTGGCCTATGATCAAAAGCCTTCCGTTTCCACCGCCAAACCTTTCAGGGGAGAGTTTGCAACAGTTTGGCACCATTTTTGAGCAAAGTGGAAAACGGACGATTTTTGATGAAAGTGTGACCGCGCGCCTTAGTGATTTTTCAGAAATATCATTTTCCACAGGTGAAGTAGTCGAGGGCTGATTTCTTGGCCTATGATCAAAAGCCTTACGTTTTCACCACCAAACCTTTCAGGGGAGAGTTTGCAACAGTTTGGCACCATTTTTGAGCAACGTGGAAAACGAGCGATTTTTGATGATATTGTGACCGCGGGCCTTAGGGATTTTTAAGGAAAAAAACTTTTTCCACAGTTGAAGTAGTCGAGGGCTGATATCTTGGCCTATGATCAAAAGTCTTCGGTTTTCACCGCCAAACCTTTCAGGGGAGCGTTTGCAACAGTTTGGCACCATTTTTCAGCACAGTGGAAAAGAGCCGATTTTTGATGAAAGTGTGACCACGCGGCTTAGGGATTTTTCAGAAAAATCTTTTTCCGCAGGTGAAGTAGTTGAGGGCTGATTTCTTGGCCTATGATCAAAAGACTTCCGTTTCCACTGCCAAACCTTTCAGGGAAGAGTTTGCAACAGTTTGGCACCATTTTTGAGCAACGTGCAAAACGGCCGATTTTTGATGAAATTGTGACAGCGCGGCTTAGGGATTTTTCAGAAAAATCTTTTTCCGCAAGTGAAGTAATAGAGGGCTGATTTCTTGGCCTATGATCAAAAGCCTTCCGTATTCACCGCCAAACCTTTCAGGGAAGAGTTTTCAACAGTTTGGCAGCATTTTTGAGCAAAGTGGAAAACGGACGATTTTTCATGAAAGTGTGACCGCACGCCTAAGGGATTTTTCAGAA